ACTCGTCCTTTACATTAGGTATATCTCCTAATGCTATCCCTTCCCCCTTCCCCCTCCCCACAGATAGGCCGCAGTGGTGTGATGTTCCCCTTCCTGTGTCCAAGTGATCTCATTGTTCAATTCCCACCTATGAGTGAGAACATGCGGGTTTTGATTTTCTGTTCTTGTGATAGTTTGCTGAGAATGATGGTTTCCAGCTGCATCCATTGTCCCTACAAAGGACACCAAACTCATCTTCCCTTTTTATGGCTGCATAGTATTCCATGGTGTATATGTGCCACATTTTCTTATTCGTCTGTCATGATGGACATTTGGGTTGTTTCCAAGTCTTTGCTATTGTGAATAGTGCTGCAATAAAACATATGTGTGCATGTGTCTTTATAGCAGCATGATTTATAATCCTTTTGGTATATACCCAGTAATGGATGGCTGGGTCAAATGGTATTCTAGTTCTAGATCCTTGAGGAATCACCAACACTGGTTTTCCACAATGGTTGAACTAGTTGACAGTCCCACAACGTGTAAAAGTGTTCCGTAATTTCTCCCACATCCTCTCCAGCACTGTTGTTTCCTAACTTTTTAATGGTTGCCATTCTAACTGGTGTGGAGATGGTATCTCATTTTGTGGTTTTGATTTGCATTTCTCTGATGACCAGTGATTAATGAGCATTTTTCATGTGTTGTTGGTTATTGGATGTTTGTGTCTTCTTTTGAGAAGTGTCTGTTCATATCCTTTGCCACTTTTTTGATGGGATTGTTTGTTTTTTTCTTGTAAATTTGTTTTGAGTTCTTTGTAGGTTCTGAATATTAGCCCTTTGTCAGACGAGTAGATTGCAAAAATTTCTACCCATTGTGTTAGGGGTTGCACTGATTCACTCTCGATGGTCAGCTTTCACCTATTTGCCTGTGCAGAAGGCTCTTTAGTTTTAATATAGATACCCATTTGTCAATGGTTGGCTTTCGACTGCCATTCATCTTTGGTGTTTTCGGACAATAAGTCCTTGCCATTGCCTACATGATCATCAACACTGACATGGTTATTGTATCTTCTAAGGGTTTATTATGGTTTTAGCGCGTCTAACATTTAAGTCTCTAAATTCCATCTTGAATTTAATTTTCGTATAGAGGAGTGAAGAAAAGGATCCTGAGTTTCAGCTTTCTGTTTTACGGCTAGCCAATTTTCCAGTTTAAATAGGGAATCCTTTCCTTCTCTTCTCTATTTCTTGTTTTTTGTCAGGTTTGTCAAAGATCAGATGGCTGTAGAATGTTTGTGTTATTTTTCGACGGAGGGCTCTGTTCTGATCTCCATTGATTTCTAATATCTCTGTTTTGGTACAAGTACCATGCTGTTTTGGTTACTGTTTAGCCTTGTAGTATAGTTTGAATTTGGTGTTGGCAATGATGCCTTCCAGCTTTGTTTTTTGGCTTAAGGATTGTCTTGCAATGTGGGGTCTTTTTTGGTCACATTGGAAAGAAATGCGCAGTTTTTTCCAATTCTGTGAAGAAAGTCATTGGTATGCTTGAATCCATTGATTTGCATGTGTTGAACCAGCCTTGCATCCCAGGGATGAAGCCCACTTGATCATGGTGGATAAGCTTTTTGATGTGCTGCTGGATTTGGTTTGCCAGTATATTATTGAGGATTTTTGCATTGATGTTCATCAGGGATATTGGTTGGAAACTATTATTATGGTTACATTTTACCTTTTGGAGGTCCATGAGTCCCATGAAATTGGAGGCAAACTCTATTCATGTATATATTAATAACTCTTCATGAGCATACATGGTTCTTCTCTGGGGAGATGATCAGTAGTCTTGGTCAGATTTTAAGCAGCCTGTGAACCTGAAAAGATCAAGACTCCATGCCATGGATGATGGTTCTGATCACTCCCCACTGGCCCTGCCCCCACAGGCTGCCCAGAGAAAACTGCGCCAGGCCAGCACCAATGTGAAACACTGGAATGTCCAGATGAACCGGCTCATGCATCCAATTGAGCCTGGAGGTGAGAAGGGATAGACTCTGGAGCTTTCCCTGGAGCTGGGCAGGAGAAAAGAGGGAGAAAGGGATACCTCCAGATCTCCTAGGGCCAGCAAAGGTAGGACTGGCAGTCAGGAGGCTCCCCTCTCCTCCAAGGGCTGAGGCAAGGCCCCTTGCCTCTCGCCTTTGCATGCCTTTCTCCTTACTTGCCTGCCTTCTCTCTGCCAGATAAGCGTCCGGTCACCAGCAGCTCCTTCACAGGCTTCCAGCCCCCTCTGCTTGCCCGCCGTGACTCTTCCCTAAAGCGCCTGACCCGCTGGGGATCCCAGGGCAACAGGACCCCTTCGCCCAACAGCAATGAGCAGCAGAAGTCCCTCAACGGTGGGGATGAGGCTCCTGTCCCGGCTTCCACCCCTCAGGAAGATAAACTGGATCCAGCACCAGAAAATTAGCCTCTCCTAGCCCCTTGTTCTTCCCAATGTCATATCCACCAGGACCTGGCCACAGCTGGCCTGTGGGTGATCCCAGCTCTTACTAGGAGAGGGAGCTGAGGTCCTGGTGCCAGGGGCCCAGCCTCCAACCATAAACAGTCCAGAATGGAACCTGGTTCACCCTTCATACCAGCTCCAAGCCCCAGACCATGGGGACTGTCTGGGGTGTTGATCCTTGAGAACTTGCCCTGTGCTTTAGACCCAAGGACCCAACCCCTGGGCTGGGAAAGAGTGAACAAGCAAGCTGGGGCCACCTGCCCCCAGGTGGCCACCAAGTTGTGGAAGCACATTTCTAAATAAAAACTGCTCTTAGAATGAATTATTGGCTCAGGTCTGTCCATCTCTCCTGCCACTTCCTCCCTTCCTCCCTCAAGCCCAGTTATAGATTCCAAAGGGCAGTAAAAGTATAATAAAGTGGTTAGGAAAGACCCTGCAGCTAGACTACCTGGGTTCTGAACCTGGCTTTGCTACTTACTAACCGATTGACTTTGGTCAATTTTCTTTATATCTCTGTGTTTCAGTTCCCATGTTGGTAAAATACAGATAATGATTATACTTACCATATAGGGTTATATGAGGATTAACTGTTTGGCACATGAGCGAGCACCATTATTAGTATCAGCCAAAAGTGTTTATTGAGTGTCTACTACAGTTTTCCAGGTGATTTAATTTTCATGACAACTCTCAGAACTGGAAATCATCATTGGCATTTTACAAATGGATGAATTGAGGTTCGGGGAGATTTGGTAACTTTCCCAAAGCCTTTCAGACTTGCTTTTCTTCCTGTAATCTCTGACTCACTGACCTTGTTACCCAAGACAGAGATCTGGGTGTTTGGGAGATTCACGTCTCCTCTCTCAGCCCCTCATCCAAACCCATCATCAAATCCAATAGATCCTCTCTCCTTCCTACTCTCATATCTGTCCCTCCTTTTCCATCCCCATGGCTACTGACATGGCTGAGGCCTTTGTGTTTTCTACCTGGTTGTTAACCTTTAACTCCTCCTCCGCCTTGCCTGTCTCACCAAGTCCAGCTGATTGCATTTCCTTGATCACTCTCAGATCCACACTTTTGAGGCCACGTCTGTCATGGCTACTGCCTTATTCTGGCTCTTGTCACTTCCCAACTAGGTAAGAGCAGTAACCAGGTCTCCTTGTCAACCCCTCTCCCCATTGCCACCTGGATAGGATTTCTAAAATGCAGATTTGTCCTTCACTCTTCCCAGTTTCCAGTCCCTTGGTGGTATCCTAGAGTTTTGATATTTAAATTCACATTACCATATGTGGCAGATGAGGCCCATGGCGATCTGTCCCAGGAGGGCCTTCTATGCCTCTGCCTTATGGAGCTATTGGCAGCTCCCTCTAGGCCTCACACTGACTTCCTTTCCCCCATCCTTGTAACAGCCTTCATAACTAAATGCTTGAGCTCCTCAAGGTCAGGGACATATCATCTTGAACTAAGAGCCATGGTGATTGGCTCTTAGGAGGCATGCAACAAATATTTGTCAAATACATATATGAATGAATAAATTCTGAAGCGAATAATTCAGGTGTCACAAATCCAAAAATTTATGGAGTAGCTGAAATTCAAATTCAAGTTCATTCATTTTCCAGGTCTCTGTAAAAGACAGGGTCTCTACAAAACTTGGCTGGTCTCCAACTCCTGGGCTCAAGCAGTTTTCCCGCCTCAGCTTCCCAAAGTGCTGGGATTACAGGCAGGAGCCAATGCACTCTGCCCTCAATCAACAAATGTTTATTAAGCTCTTATTATATGCCAGCTTCTGGCTATATTGTGCAGAACAAAAACAGAGTCTCTGCCTTCCTGCAGTTTATGTGGTATCTGATTTTTTGAAACCAAGTCTCACTCTGTCACCCAGGCTGGAGTGCAGTGCCTGATCTTGGTTCACTGCAACCTCCACCTTCCAGGTTCAGACGATTCTCCTGTCTCAACCTCTGGAGTAGCTGGGATTACAAGCGTGTGCCACCACATCTGGCATTTTTTTGTTGTTGTTTTGTACTTTTAGTAGAGATGGGGTTTCACTACGTTGGCCAGGCTAGTCTCGAAATCCTGGCCTCAAGTGATCTACCTGCCTCAGCCTCCCAAAGTGCTGGGATTACAGGTGTGAGCCACTGTGCCTGACTTTGCAAGTACACTAAACCTGATTGCAAGGAACTTCATTACAGTCTATTTAAAGTGTCGTGAAACAAAGCTGCTAATATAATGATGCAGATTTCAAGGATGAGCCATGAAGCTCAAACTCTAAGTGCTGTAGGAATTCAGAGAAAAGGGAAGTTTTAGGTAGAAGCTGGGATTTGAGATTAAAGGCAGCCAGGTGCGGTGGCTCACACCTGTAATGCCAGCACTTTGGGAGGCCAAGGTGGGTGGATTGTTTGAGCTCAGGAGTTCGAGACCAGCCTGGGCAACATGGAAAAAACCCATCTCTACAAAAAGTACAACCTCCTGAGCCCAGGAGGTTGAGGCTGCAATGAGCTGTGATCATGCCACTGCACTCCAGACTGGGTGATAGAGTGAGACCCTGTCTCAAAAAAAGACAGAAATTGTATCCATCCTCTGTAACGATTGATTTTTGTTTTTCTTTTTTTAATTTTTTAATTTAATTTTATTTTAAATTTTAATCTATTTATTTATTTTGAGACTGGGTTATGAGACTGGTGAATTTTTGTATTTTTGTAGAGATAAGGTTTCACCATGTTGCCCAGGCTAATCTTGGGCTCAAGTGATCCACCCACCTTGGCCTCCCAAAGTGTTGGGATTACAGGCATGAGCCACCACACCTGGCCAGTAACTATAATATTTTAAATTAATGATGAAAAATACTACATGTCATCTTAAAAATGTGCAAGGTGGCTGGAGGCAGTGGCTCATGCCTGTAATCCCAGCACTTTGGGAGGCCAAGATGGGAGGATCACTTGAGACCAGGAGTTCAAAGTCAGCCTGGGCAAAATAGTGAGCCCATGTCTCTACAAAAAGTAAAAAAAATTAGTCAGGTGTGGAGACATGTGCCTAGAGTCCCAGCTACTGGGGAGGCCAAGGTGAGAGGATCCCTTGAGGCCAAGAGTTGGACACCAGCCTGGGCAACATAGTGAGACCCCATCTCCACAAAAAATTTAAAAATAATTTTTTTTTTTTTTAAATTACCTAGGTGTGGTGCGTGTGGAGGTCAAGGCTGCAATGAGCTATGATCACGCCACTGCACTTCAGCCTAGGCTACAGAGTGAGAATCCATCTTATAAAAAAAAAAAGAAAGAAAAAAAATGTGCAAGAGGTCCAGGGCCCAGATCAAAATTGCCAATCCAGAAGAAGTTTCCTCTGTCAGGCAAGTTATTATCACTAGTTCTGCTGCCAGTATTAGTCAGGCCTGGTATCTAATCAATGCCAGGCTTTTCTCTGAGAAGGGAATGGGGTATGGCTAGAGCAGTGTAGATTCCCTCATAATCCCTTTCTGCTGTTTTCTTCTGACCTAACTGTGGAATTTTTGGGGTCAGTGATTCCAGGGTTTTTTGGTTTTTGTTTGTTTGTTTGTTTTTGAGACAGAATTTCCCTCTTGTCTCCCACGCTGGAGTGCAATGGTGCAATCTTGGCTCACTGCAACCTCCGCCTCCCAGGTTCAAACAATTCTCCTCCCTCAACCTCCCAAGTAGCTGAGATTACAGGTGTGCACCACCACACCCGGCTAACTTTTTGGATTATTAGTAGAGATGGGATTTCACCATGTTGCCAGGCTGGTCTTGAACTCCTGACCTCAGGTGATCTGCCCACCTTGGCCTCCCAGAGTGCTGGGATTACTCACGCCTGGCCTGACTCGATGTTGTAAATAATTTGTAAGTATTCAGTTTCTACACAACTTTATCATCTGCCAAGAATTTTAAAATAATGTTCTCTGTTCAGCTGTCAATGTTGAAACACATATTTAATATTACAAGCTTTTCCCTGCTTTTAGTTTTGTTTGGAGTTTTTTGACTTACGAATATTATTTCTGTTTGTCAATAAGAAATGTAAGACTGGAATGGTAATAAATTTCAGTTTAGTTCTATAATGTCAAGAATTTAAGAATTTAAAAAATTACTGCAGGAAAAAGATAGTCATGAAAAAAAAAAAAAATTAAAAAGGCCCAGGGCTGGGCGCGGTGCCTCACACCTATAATCCCAGCACCTTGGGAGGCTGAGGCGAGTGGATTGTGAAGTCAGGAGTTCAAGACCAGCCTGGCCAACATGGTGAAACCCCATCTCTACTAAAAATACAAAAATTACCCAGGCATACCTATTAGTGGAGCATGCCTATAGTCCCAGCTACTCGGGAGGCTGAGGCAGAAGAATTGCTTGAACCCAGGAGACAGACACTGCAGTGAGCTGAAATCATGCCACTGCACTCCAGCCTGGGTGACAAAGCAAGACTCCATCTCAAAACAAAACAAAACAAACAAACAAAAAAAACCAAATTAGGCTGGGTAGGGCCAGGCGCGGTGGCTTACACCTGTAATCCCAGCACTTTGGGAGGCCAAGATGGGAGGATCATGAGGTCAGGAGTTTGAGACTAGCCTGGCCAACATGGTGAAACCCCATCTCTACTAAAAATACAAAAATTAGCGGGGCATGGTGGCGTGCACCTGTAGTCCCAGCTACTCTGATGGCTGAGGCAGGAGAATCACCGGGAGGCAGAGGTTGCAGTGAGCTGAGATCATACCACTGCACTCCAGCCTGGGCAACAGAGTGAGACTCCATCTCAAAAAAAAAAAAAAAAAAAAATTAGACTGGGTGTGGTGGTGTGCACCTGTATTCCCAACTACTCTGTAGGCTGAGGTGGGAGAATTGTTTGAGTCCAGGAGGCAGAGATTGTAGTGAGCCATGATAGTGCCACTTCACTCCAGCTTGGGTGACAGAGTGAGACTCTGTTTCCAAAAAAAAAAAAGAATGTAAAAAATTGGCTTAAAAATGTTTCATCTTAGATAAAGCTTGCAATTACTATCTTAAAAAATATGCAAGGGGCTTCATGGTTCTTATATATTCTCTCAGGATTGGAAGGGCAGACAATTTTGAAGATCACTGCTATGGAGAACCATGAGTAGAAAGTGGAGTGAGACCTGGTTATAGAGATTCTTGGAAGCTATGCAGAGTTTAGATTTGAGGTGGCAAGCCAACCTCTGATCCTCAGTTTCCTCACCTGTAAATGGGGTCCATTCCAGACTTTTAAATATTCTATGGTGGGACATAGGGAGGGATTGACAGTGGAGGCATGATATAGTGATATAGTGAAAGGAAGATCACTCAGACACCTGAATGCGAGCCATGTTGGGACTGG